TTTTTTAAAAAAGCTAGAATTTTGTATAGGAGTTTTAACACGCCAAAAAAATTTAAATGGGGTCCCTTTTAAGATACAGACTAAAATAAATCCTATCCTATAAAAATATACATATGCAATTTCAGAGGCTTACCTGTGCATCAGCCAGCATGACATCCTTCAGCATGGGCTGGCCCTTGGGTTCACCATTTTCCATCCTCACATAATGCACCTGGTATCCTCTTATCTGGCCATGCTGTTTATTGGGCACAGGTGAGCGCCATGAGACTTTAACAGATGTTGAGTTGACAGCCTCTACCTCGACTTTGCGAGGAGGACCACTAGGAACTGGAACAACATCATTGGATAAAAGAAAATTATAGGCACTTGTCCCACCCAGTCAGAGCATTTTCTTTACTTAGGTTCAAAAAAGAAAAAAGAAAAAAAAGAAAAAAAAAAAAGGCAGACCCACTATGTTTCCTTTGTGGAATACAAACATTTTCAACCAAGGAAAATGCTCAACCAATCTGCTCTACCTTTTAAGAAAAGATCAAAAAACATGACCGATGCCAAAAAAAAAAAAAAAAAAATGGAAGAAAAAAAGAGTATCAGAGAAATAGAAAAACATGTAAAAAATGTACAAAAGCCAAGGAAGATGCTTTGAGATTCAAAGCATTAAAGCACAAAGAAGTATAGCATTGAAATAATAACAAAAACTGGTTGTTGATTGTTGTGTGTGTGTGTGTGTGTGTGTGTGTGTTTTCAAGGTTTCTTTTTAGCAGAATAAAAAAGATTCTTGATTATATGGATTTTCTTCTTTTTTTTTTCTCATATTAAAGGTATTCCATACAACAGATGCCAAAAATTGAATGTCGAGCATCAGTGTCTCTGAAATGTGCAAGACAAAAAGGCAACAAGAAGATAAGAAGGCACTTTTGAAAAGTTAACTTCAAAATGTAAAAGAAGTGACTACAAAACCCAAGAAATATGCAGAAGACTTTAGATGGAGGTACAGAGAAGGGCCTGGATTGCAAGGTCATAGGAGCAAACTGTTCTTTTAAAAGGAAGCAAATTACTGTGTCGAGATTTAAAAAGTTAAAAAAAAAAAAAAAAAAAAAGTGCCCAGGCCGTAGCAAAGATAGGTCTCTGGCAAAAACCACTGAAGTTACAGCGATGCTGGGTAAAAAAGATGAGCAGAGAAAAATGCATTACTGTTAGCCTATCAAAAGACAGCAGACCAAGACTGTAGCAGAAGGGTGCAAACTGACGTAGCAGAGGCAACGTACCATCTTCATCGGTTCGAATCAACACGGACAAGCTCTCAGGGCCAGGGCCGACATCTGTGTGGGCTGTCACAGTGATCCGGTACTCAGTCCATTTTTCCAGCTGTTCCAAAAGGTATTTGGTAGTGTCCGAAGGAATTCCCAAAATCTCATGAGGTTTGTCATCTTCTCCATCCACTGCGGTATACTTGATGGAGTATTCAGTAATAATGCCATTCTGTTTTTCCACTGGTGGAGGTTGCCAACTTACCAAAATACTAGTGGAACTTGGGCTGGTGCAACTAATGTCTTGAGGAGGAGCTGACGGCTCTTATTTTGGTAGTGAGTTAAAGGAGGGTTTGAGTGAAAGGACAGGAGTGGTTGGAAAAAAAAAATGATAAAACAAAAGAAAAGGCAAAAATAAATAAATGAACAATATAGGGCAACAAAACAAAAATAAGGCTTTGAAACTTAAAGTAAATTTTTAAAGATAAATTTATGTACCTTGGCTTAGTAATATGAATAAACCAAAAAAATGAATAAATGACCAAAAATAATTGTTAAATAATGGGTGGGGGGAATATATGAAAATGAAACCTTAAGATAACAGAGCCTCAAATAAAATTACCTACCTGCAATTTAAATTCTTCTTCTAAAACAATCCCTCAGTATTCCCCAGCCCTATTATACAGACTATCGAGCTTCAAAAAAGCTGCAAACAGTACAAGATTTATTACATGAGAGTCTGATGATGTTTAAGAGATGCCATTTCGAGCTTTCACTACTGCATTCTAAAATGAGGGCAATTCCTACATAGTTTTCATTTGTGAAAAGGTTCTTAAGTGTGAAAAGTGGCAGTAACTGTTGGATGCCCTTCCACCAATTCCAATTTTTTAAAAAGGGAGATAAATAAAAAGCCCAACAAACACAAAAGGGTTCCCTCTGACTACGTGAAAAACGGGAGTCTTCTGACCAGTTTTAACGACAAGTGTTAACCTAACATTGATCACAGCCCATATACAGTGAGCATGCAGAACAATAAAGGATGAAAATGAACAGTCCAGGATTTACCTACCCGAGGGTAATGTCAGGCTGCTTGATTCTGACTGTAACTTGTACTTACCCTATGTCAGCTTCCAGCTTTTTTAAAATTATAACTCTTCTTGAGACACCATTGCTAGTGAAGAATTAGATCCCACCAGCAAATTTTGGTAAAATCAATAAAAATCATCTATCCCTTACAAAATGTCAATAACATAGCCATCAAAAATAACTTTAAAAAAAATCCTGAGAACCATCTGGAAAAGATATGACTTATCTTTCATTTTGTACATAGCTCTTTTCATTTTGTACATAATTATTCATATAAAGTAGGATTTACATAAGAGCTGAAAGATAAACTTTCTTCCTGCCCATTCTAAAATAAACTAGTCACCTTCTGAGCAATTATTTTCCACCAAATAAATCAAACATATCATTATTTGACCAAAAAAAAAGCAATAAAGAGCAATGTGACTGTTATCATAAATTATTTTTAAAGTTAATAACATATATTCCTAAAGAAGAGCAAAGAATTGGGATGATATATGAATATATGTTTGCATATATATATATTTTTTGATATAAGGCAATATATATGGTAGAATGAGTAAATCATTTCTAATTTTTTGTTTTTGAACATGTAGTTTGGTTATTTCTTTACACTTCGTGAGCCTTAATATTATGTAGTGTCAGGTGTATCTGATTATTTAGACGATCATCAGTCTTTCTTTTTTTTTTTTCTGTGGTACGTGGGGCTCTCACTGTTGTGGCCTCTCCCGCTGCAGAGCACAGGCTCCAGACACGCAGGCTCAGAGGCCATGGCTCACGGGCCCAGCTGCTCCGCGGCATGCGGGATCTTCCCGGACCGGGGCACGAACCCGTGTGCCCTGCATCGGCAGGCAGACTCTCAACCACTGCGCCACCAGGGAAGCCCCATCAGTCTTGCTTAATTTACATGTCTGTGTTCTTCATTACAGGCAATCAAAATGAAAAGATCCTTGTACAGACAAAAAGGAAGTCCTCGTGAAACAGTCTTATATATTTGGTATAAGGTTTGCAAAATCACAAGAACATCATTTTTATTGATTCTGACCAAAGATTCTTATATTTCAAATTATGAAACTATTTTATATGCATTATCATTCATAATAAATTGAGTTGTTCATGTAACAGCAAAGACTCATTTGTAATTCTTTTCAAAAAACTGATTTGGTTGTCACTACATTCCTACCTTCAGACCTCCTATTCTGTGAAAGTATATGTAGCACCACTTGAAACCTTAATAAAATAGTGGGTAAGCTTTTGATGTGTCTATAAAAAGTTCATTCTGTCTCTTTGTATGTAAGTATGTATGTTTGAATATATATGTGTGTGTATGCAAAACAGTCAAGTTTGTAAACCATGCAAAATATAATATTAAAGCATGTTACATTTCTTTCAATTGTCTGATTTTAAGAGTTACCTTCTACAATACTACTTATTAGCCTGCCTGGAATTCAAGGGAGACATACAATACTGCATTGATTTACATGCTTCAGTTTTAAAAAAGGAAATTTTATGGGAATAAGCTATCATCAGTAAGGGACTAAGCAACAGAATCCTAATGCTTTTCATATGAATAATCATGTGTTGAGGAAAAATGTGAATTTTATCATCAAGAACCCTGAAAAATTTCAAGTATCTATAGAAAATGAAATGATGGAAGACTTGCTTATATGAAAGGAAATTCATCTTCTAAAAAAATGTAAATTTCATGCTTGCTGATAGGTCTAAAAATCAGGTCAATAGAGCATTCTCTTTATAAAATTCAATGTATTCATTTTATACATATCTATGTCACTAGATAAAATGACATAAAAATTTTAAAAATCACATATAAAATATAAGATATTTTAAAAATCTAAGGAAATAAGTCCATAAAACTGTTCAATTTAAGGTAAATGGTTAATAGACTAATTATAGAAACTTATTAATAAAGAGCAAACAATAGTATTATAAGCCACCAAACTTTCCATCAAAAACAACCTGCCATATAATACTTTATGCAAAACAATCGTCCCCAGACACAATGAACTCCATTGTGATAAACACAACTATACTTTAGAGTAACAGTCCCAAAAAGAATCTGAACCTGAGGAAACAAAATACAATTTAGGATTGCAAATATACTTGTGATTATTCCATTGTTCCTAAATTTGTACAAATACAGATTTTCTGTGAATGTTCCAAATTTCCACATGAACTACTTGCAAAGTTAACAACAAACAAGGAAAAAATACGTGACATGAAGACTTGGTCGTCAGCAAAGTTAAAACCTGTGTGCTTAAAAAAGATGAAAGTTTGGTCTTTTGCTGTCTCTTTAGTTTGCTAAGCCCTCCTCTGATTATTTTGCAGCGTTCTCAATCTGAATTTTGCTTTACAGCTTTATAATTCATTAAATGGGGCCTGATCCAACTCCTTTACCCATTTTTCTCAAGTAGGTTTCCTAACTTCTCTGAATGTCTTTCAATTTTGGAAGTGGGAGAATGGGATCTGTCATTTGGACCCAGTCGGAAAACCAAGGTCACGGCGCTCTAATCCCCCAAATTGGACACTTGCTAGTACAGAGACTACCAACTATTAAATATTAATTAGCAGGTTTGTTGTTGGTGGGGATAAAAGCTGGCAACGCCTCCTAGTGAAGAAAAGGGCAGAAAGTAAGCAAAGAGAGACACCTACTTGACTGCATGGTTCTGGCTGATATTTCAGCTGTGGAAGCACCCAGGCCTTGGGGAGAGCGTGCAGCCAGACGGAAGTAGTACAAGCTGTTTGGTCTCAGCCCTTGCAGTCTATAAGATGTCCCTGGCTCAATGGTAATCCGTTGCTGTGGATAAGTAACAAGGGACCTTGGTCATCTTTGTTAAGATTTGTGCATATATATATATATAGAAGAAATCGATCCACTGTATTTTTTAAATTTTTTTTTGCGGTACGCGGGCCTCCCACTGCCGCGGCCTCTCCCATTGCAGGAGCACAGGCTCTGGACGCGCAGGCCCAGCGGCCATGGCTCACGGGCCCAGCCACTCCGCAGCATGTGGGATCCTCCCGGACCGGGACACGAACCCGCGTCCCCTGCACCGTCAGGCGGACTCTCAACCACTGCGCCACCAGGGAAGCCCAGTGCATATATTTTTATCACACTGCCCGGAACAACAGATTTCTGTAATCAGGGTTATAATGTCATCAAAATATCACAAACAGAATCAACAGTATCAAGGACTCTACTAGGGGAAGTACATAATGAAGATACCAGTTTAAAAGGCAAGTTTCTACAACAAATAACACAGCTGGAAAAAAGGAAGTCAGGGATCTATTTAACGATGACACAGTTTTCCAAATGCATCAGATAAGAGGGAGTGAGAGGCCCACCACCCATGAATGCATTCAACCTTTAAGTCATGTGTGTTGCAGTGACACTGCCCACAATGGAAACTGACCCCCGCCCCTGACAATGGCTTATGCCTAACATTCCATTTGAAGAGATGTCTAGCTCATCTCCAGTGACCATCTGCAATGTAAATAGGGGCAAAGAAAATACGGCCGGAAGTAACAATGGAAACCTGCATACAGTTCACCTGAGGCTGTTATGAAAGAGATCTGAAATTGCCAAGGCCTGAGGGAATAAAAATCAGATGTCAGTTACTGAAGAAAGCTGGGCCTAGGTTGATTTCAAGTTAATTTTAACACTTCCTTTCTTTGTGAATATAGAACCTACGGCTAGAAAAAAGAAATCACAAACTCTTCTATAACTGTTAACATCATAAAGGGCTTTTGAAATAAGGTTTTTTTACTTGAATGTGGTAACTTATTTTTGTGCTTGAAATCTGCCTTTGCATTTTAGCAAAGATATAGCTATCTATGGGTAGTCAATCTCAGATTGAACATGAGCCTGTAGTAAACCTTAAAATGCATGCTAGTAATGGCCTCAATAATCTTATAAGGCTTTTTATCGAATAGCATTTGCTGTTCACACAAACAGAAATCAGTCAAGGGCAATCAGATATAAAACTAGAGAAAACACCCCTAGGGTGTTCTGGCTTGCAAATACAAAATTTTCAGAAATTTTAGATTTACCAAATAACAAGAAAAAAAGGAATTTCCTAAATAAACAACCGTAAAGCAGAGTAGGTATGCCAATAGTCAAGTATCCAAAGCGTTTCCAAAGGACTGCCACTCTCTTTCAACTGTTTTTATTTTATTTGTTTTTTAGTTGGGTAATGGTAAGTATTTAAAATAATTTAATGCTAATTTATGTCTTATTACAAACACCAACAGTTGTAACACGAGTACTTTACGTTATATCAGCACTTCAGTTCTAGAACTTTTTGAGTGATTAATTTGTATCAGCTTTGTTAGCTAAATCTAAAAGCATTGCTTTTAGAACCTGGTCTTTGGAGATTTCTGCTCACTTCAAAGAGATGTAATAAAATAGAAGTTTATAGTAGCATACATAGCATTCAAAATGATGAGCCACAAGTTAATTGGTAATAGTTCATTTAGTATGTGAGCGTTTAAGAAAGGTATTCTTTTCTTAGAACTTAGGGGCTGTTTTGCTTTGTGGAGATATTTTTAAGATGAAGGATGCTAAGAGGTATAACAAAATGGCTTGGTGGATTGAGTTTTCACATAGAGTTTTACCAACTTTTTTGTCCTAATGTTCCCCTTAATGGGTTTTACGATAACAAAAGAAACATATTTATTACTATCCCTTTCTGAAAATATTAGATGTATCTTAATACAGATTTATATAATCTATTCAAAGAATACCCAAGGGCCAGTATATGCTAATGGTTAAGAACACAGATTCTGGAAATTGTCTACATTCAAATTCCAGCTCTACCATTCAGTAGTATGAGGCTTTGGGCAAATTATTTAATTATTTTTTCCATGTCTCCATTTTGTTATAATATGTGAAATAGATTAATAATAGAGGCTGACTCAAAGCACTACTGTAAGGATTGACTTAATATGTGTGAAACCATTATTATAGTGCCTGTTAATGTACGTGTTAGTTATTTTGATTTTTATTTCTCTTTTCAGTAACTGTTAACAATTTCTAGCCTTCCACAGCCTGTTATTTCATTTGTGTAACATACTCAAACTACATATATATATATGTGCTTTCACATTCATATCAAACAATCACTGGCATACAAACAAACATTTGCTATGGGGCATCTTTCTCTGAAACCAGTTTAGACAAATTCATCTACCCAAAGCCTTGGAGCTCACTTAGTCATGTGTTAACAGAGACTTAAGCATTTTAACGCAGAAGACAAAGAAAGGAAATCCCCAAATCTCAAGGAGTATATTCTTCTACAAGCAGATACTTCCATAAGTAACTTAGAAACCGGAATTAAAAAAAAGAAATTTCCAATACAGACAATAGCTGTTTTTTGTTTCTTTTGTCCTAACCCCAGCAAGTCTCCAAATACTCTTTCTGTTTTTTTGGTCAAGCTTCTCTTTTGATGAATAAATCTTTTCCACTAAGGTCCTCTGTAGATATCTGACCTTTTAACAGAACTTGGGCAAGTACACAAAATGAGAGCAGTGCTTGGGTGTAGAGAATGACGACAAGGCGAAAAGCACAGTCCTACCTCCTTTCCATGCTCCCCATCTTTGTAGACGAGTTCATAGTTAGCGATGGTGTCTGAACGTGGAGGCGTCCAAGAGAGCAAAATACTTGTTTCGGATTCAGGTTCTGCCTTGAAGTTTAGTGGCTGCCCTGGCACTAAAATCAGGGAGGCAAAGGAGTGAGCTCACCATCACCAGAAATATTCAGAAGTTCTTTCATTAACTGTTTAAACTTTTCACTCAGTGTCTGCACGTATTAACTTAATGGAGAGCTAGGTTCCTTACATTGTCCAAGTTATTAGCCTGTCAATATAAAGCCCAGTTTTCCTCCTTTAAGGGACAAGAACAATGTTATAAATACTGTGCTTGTCCCTGAGTGGTTTAATATATATGCAAGATGTGGAATTAGCAAATGTAGAATAGAGCAGTCTCTGAATTCAACTTTAAGAATAATATTTACTTTATAATATCATTGTAAGTAATAAATGTGATGATTTATATAAAGCACTTGGGATAAATATTGCCTAAATCACACCAGTTGTTAAATACATAAAAGCTATTGTTCTTTTACAACTGAGTGGGAACTTATTCTCTAACGCTACAGTTTACTTTTAAAATTATTTCCAATTAGGTTTATAAAATCCCACCTTTACTCCATTAACAAAACCTACAGGCAAGCAGAATCATTGGTATTTTTTTTCTTACCAACCCACGTTTTAAAAAGATGTAAAAAATAAAAAGAATTAAAAAATCTAACTATTCTTTCTAATCTCTAAATGACTTTAATATGAGTTAATACACTAGACACAATATAAATTTAATATTGTCCCTAGTGAGATGGAGCTAAATTACTACACAAGTTGAAAAGTGTATAGAATACACTTATATCACAAAGATAGGAACTTAACAGAGGTCATCTATAATTCTCGTATTAGTCATGTAATCCATGCAGTAGACAATTTGGAAGAGCTATGTATCATATGTAATCAAGAATGGGACATCAATCCAGTTGAAATCATCTTACCCAAATGTTGAATTAGAATAAATTTTATTAACCCCAACCTCCTAGTTAGCAACTAATCCCACGAGGTCCTCTATCCATTATACACAAGGCTAATGCACTTCAGGGCATCAGTAGCACAGCCACTCTTACATTGTTCTCAGCCAATGTCTACTCTAATTGGTTGGTGCCCATGCCTTAGGGGCCATTAAATATTTTGATCATTACCCCGGATATTACGGCATGTTTCAAAGTGCCATAGCTGAACATATGTCCATATTCCCACAAGTTCACATGAGAATTCCGTGTATATTTGTAAAAAACAAGAATAATACTTCACACCAGAGGGGAAAAGAACATCTAAAGTATTTTTAGCAAATAAGCACGAACATTCAAAAACATATACAAATAATGTAACTTGTAGCTGATGTATGACATCAATTTCTTAAACAATACCTAAAGCATCATTTTCACCAGAAAGAAGGTCTTTGGAGATATAAAATGCATTACTTTCTTTTCTTTCTATAGTCATCTCTCAGTAGCATGATGAAAAAATGCCTTTTGTTTAAAAAAAGATTAAAATCTAAAGGGGTCTACAATGGTTTCTGGAATCAATCCTTAATCATCATTTCATTCCTCTGGTCTGTCAACCTGAGACTCTGTGTGTGTGTGTGTGTGTGTGTGTGTGTGTGTGTGTGTACACGTGCACACACTCATGTTTGGACTGATGCTTAAGGCCACCAATAATCAGTGCTTCATATTTCTAATTTCATTCATTTTCCTTTCTCTCCTTCCGTATCACAGACCTTGAGATACTCATTAATTTGATGCCTCCAGGAATGTACTTTCTGAACTGAGTATCTTTTTTTTTTTTTTAAGTACCTGCCCAGTGGGTGACCTAACACAACCATTCAGACTGAGAGGTAGAGACAAAAGAAGATAAAAGATCAAGAGCAAGAGAAGGTAGAACAGAGGGAAATAAGAAAAACCACCAGGCAAATAGCAAAACAAATAGAAAATGCATTACTTCTAAAAAGAAAATACCAATAGCACAGGCAGGAGCAGCAATGGAAGCCAAGAATGATCAGACAGATGGGGAAATTATGATTGGATTCTAATATGCAGATCATGAAAGGTTTTCTCAGCCTAAAAATACACACGCCTATGCATATGTATGCAGTCACTTCTTTTTCTCTAGTTTTATTCCCTTTTTCTTTCCCCAACTTCCACACGTCTGGGAAAGAAGAACACCTTGTGATAACTTCTCACTTAAACCAAACCAAATAAAGTGCTGTCAAGAATTAAAAACAAGGACAGTGTTGAAGGGCTACTCTCAGGATAATGATTGCTTGTTACGTATTTCCTCCCTGCTAAGGCTAATAATAAATTGAGTGACAGTGACTGAAAACACTGTGGGAATCCAATTAACTTTTTCTTACTTAAAACTGTTTACTTTTTTGCTTTTAATTTGTCTCAAACAAATTCCTGGTAGGTCTCAATGTTTCATCCTTGTTTAGTGCCACACACTTCCTTTAATTCTCTAATTCTGTTTGGTTCTATTCAGAGCCCTCTCCTTCTAAATAATGAAATAGCTACATCAAAGCCTCAGAGGGTGTACTGTCCATTTCATTTTGGGACAAAGTAAGTAGGAAGTGGCCACACGACTGGATGGTGAGTCTCGTCGAATAATACAAACAGGGTTTCTCCTCCTCTGCTTTCAACATCTTCTTTTGAAGTGGTCTGGAGGGGAATTTAATAGATTTTAAACTTGTGGTCGAAACACCAATGCCTAGAGGTGCCAGGTAGATGACTCAGATGAGTGCAGAGGCCATGCAGGCCCAGGGTCAACGGGGGAGTGCCTGGGACACCAGAAGGAGTCAGTGATGCTCAGAGCCAGGACACGGCTGCCTTGTGGAATGTGGGTCCCGTCTTACCCAAGCTTCTGATTTTTCAGCAGAAGTTGATAATGAATCTTCTAGGTAAAATCTTTTAATTTTTTACAATCAGAAATAAATTGAATTAGTTGAAATTAACTGAAAAACACGGTATTAGGCAAAATGTGTCTACAGGCAAAATCCAGCACAAGGACCAGGGCTTTAAAGGATCTTTTTATTATATCAGACTCTATGCCCATACGTGTCTTAGGGGTGACGCTACTCAGACTTTCTTGGGAATTGTGGATTCACCTAAAGATGTTGCTTCCTCAGGATCATTTAGTCATTACTGAAACAACCACAGTGAAGCTGAGGCTTCGAAGGAAAAGAAAAAAAAGCTGTGAAATTAACGTATTTATTTATACATTCCCCAAACATAATAGTCCGAATGATCATAATATATGTTTACAAGAAAACACGTTAGTGGACTCCAAACTGTCATATTTATTTTGTCTGTGCCACTTGGAGACACAGGGAATACTTCGTCATCTGTCAGTTAGATTTTTATACCAAATACTGTGGCTACAAAGATTCTATTAACATTTATATTTGTTTTCTCCATATCCCTTCTCCCTCCTTCCCTCCCTCCCTTACTGTCTTCCTCCCACTCTCCCCGTCTCTATAGATATATAGGTAGGTAGATAGATAGATAAGTATAGATATTTGTATGTATATATATTTAATGCTCTCACAGCCTTGACACCTCAAACTTACTGACATTCTTTTATCTTCACTTACTTCATGTTTTTCCTCTATAAATTTTATTTAAGAGCTTTTCTGTGCTGTAGCATTTTCCTCATCAATTAACCAAAGATACATTTTAAGGAAAAATCTGAGATTCTGGAAAACACATGGGAGAATAAAAAGAACCCATCCAGAAACCTTAGTGCAATCATCTACATTAAAAAAAGATGTGTTAATGTTGACCCTAAACCAATAGAATTCAGATGTGGAAAGAGGGAAGAAAAGTAGGAACACAAATTTTTCTTTAAAATTATATTTAAGAAACCCTTATATTTGGTAAAGTGGTGGTGTTTTACCCTTCTTCTTGATTGCTTATTTAGTGTCCAAAAGGACATACAAAAATGAGCTATCAATTCCCTAAAATAAGATTATAACCCCATTGAGAAATGGGAAACATTTGAGTAGTAATACTAGTATACTCCATATACCTGGAGGCAACTCACAGAGAATGGAATATGAATAAGAAGCGAGAAGAAAATCTGCATGTCATCTGAACTCTGATAATATTGGAAGAGATCAATATTTGACTAAATTTTAGGGAATATCTCTGAAGAGAAAGGGGTTAGCACATATAAAATGGCTAAAAAACAATTTCACCTCACTGTAATATAAGTATGAAACATTACCAAAAAGACTAAAAAACACATTAGTACTAAAATGTCTAGTGCTCTAATAAGGTACATATTTTAAAATGTATCTAGCATATTGACAAATGATAATAACAATAAAAGCAACAGCCAGAATTATAGTGGCAGTAAAACAAAACAAAACAAAATTCAAACAAGGAGTCTGATTTGTAAGTGCCGCAGATATATCATTGACAAAATAAGTACTTAATACACAAGCACCTGCACAAATCTTACTCTTAACTGTCATTAAACATCAATAAGAAAAAGTTAAAATTTTATTACAGTTGTATTTACAACCAGCACTCCTTTACTCATTGCTAAAACTATTTAGAGAAAGAATTCAAATGGGGCTCATAATTTTTGCTATTGGAAATCAGTCTTTTCTAGTTTGCTTATATAGGCCTGTTGAGATACAGTAATGAAATGGTTTATAAAGTACTGGAAACCTAAAGCACAATGTCTCTAAAATGTCATAGTTTTATAACAATTTTGCTTCTTCAAAATGTTTAAAGTTGATGCTACTCATTAATATTTATTTATTAAATGTGTATAATTATTTTCCTTCCAAAGACCTATACTATTAAGGCGTGTACATATAAATCAGTACTTTCCCCAAGAATCTATTAAATGCATAGAAGAATTAGGGGTAAGATATGTTTTCTAAAGAAAGTTCAGGAAAAAGACACACATTAGGATTTAACAGCTTTAGAATGCCTCCAATTAGCAGGAACAACAAGCAGCATTTATTTTAGTGCATTAGGTTTAAGATGTTAATTTATTACATTTCCTTATCAGAGTTTTATTTGTACTTCTTTTGTAAAATATAGTTACCCTATGTTCTTATTATAATTACGTACAAGAGAAAACTATATAAGACATCCTTCCCGAATGTGGTTTTTCATAGCAGAGACTTTTTTCTAGCACAACATAAATACTTCCCATGTCAATGGCCATATGGTCCATGTATTTCCAAGGTGAATTACTTGCAAGTCACTATAATGCCAGAAGTTAAAGCTATGGAAAACTTGGAAGATTAACCAATATTTCTAGAAAATAATCATTTTAACCAAAATCTTTTCATATTTAAAACCATGTAAAGATTACTTAGTATGTTCATCTGTACTAATATTCATAATTAAGGGGATATATTACTGACTATAACACAGATCATATTTTGACTTTCTATATTACCAGAAATATACAAACTTACATCAATCCTCCATTTATATCAATACATGTGACAATAATCTTAGATAAGATCAAAAGTAATAATGTCCCTCTTAAACTCACTTTATTTCTAAATACTGTTTCTGCAGAGTCTGATTTTAAACAAAAACAGGAATATTACTGTCAGGGAATTAAAGATAATAAAGTAAAATGTATACCTTTTAGATAAAGTAGACAAAAATGTATATCTCTGTGTATATGAAATTAAAATATTTGAGAAGTTCATGCACGCTATTGATCAGTAAATTTTTGTAGGTTTGGAAAAGGCAAAATTGTAGTGAGAAGAATCATAAACTTAAATTTTATATAACCTAACTAAAAGAATATTTCATAATGGTTTTATGTCTTTGTCTAGCAGTGATCCTATGAATTAGCTAGTCAGGAGCAGCTCAGAATTAATTATATCAGAACTAACATCATTGTATTTGGCAGGTGTCCACTAACATCAAATGGGCTTTGTTAATTAAGCCTAGAGAACAGATCAAATCATTGTGCCATTCTGAAAGGTTTTCTTAGCCTATTGATCTCGGCAGGCACAAGTCATTATGTCATTATATATCTTCTCAATCAATGGGTATTAAAATTACAACTATTATGGAAGGTTCTTGGAAATATCTTAATGTAAAAAAAGTTAAACAGAGATTGAGAACAGCTATTTTAATGCATCTGTGATCCATTCATCTAGATTTGTTTTTAGGTCCAGAGTCCCTGGGTCACATTAACTCAATTGCTCCTGTCACAATGTTACCTTCACTGAGTTATGATTTATGTTACATTATGTCCCCTGGTAATACAGAAAAACAAAATATGATCTATTTAAACATCAGTTCTGTATCTTTCATTAAACTGTGACGAAAGCATTACTGTCATTTCGTGTTCTGAATATAAGGATTCTCATGATTCTCAAGGATTCTTATGTTTTGGTTGAATTTAGTTTCAGTAACTATTTGGTTTCTTAGATAGCGAAATCCTTCTGTCATAAGAAAATAATATTATGAAACGCTACAGATTTGTATGTTTAAATTTGTAGTTAGAAAATTAAGAACCAAACTTAGTGACTGAGTATAACTTTCTATAAAAAAGGTTTTCCTTCAACTTCTTTTAAATTTTTAAAAAATATCTAAATGGTTTAATGTACTTCTGCACTGGGATAACCTAATAGCCACCTCAAGTATTTCAGATGTAAATCATATACAATTCTTTTTTTTTAAATAAATTTATTTATTTATTTTTGGCTGCATTGGGTCTTCTTTGCTGCACGAGGGCTTTCTCTAGTTGCGGCGAGTGGGGGCTACTCTTTGTTGCAGTGAGCAGGCTTCTCATTGTGGTGGCTTCTCTTGTTGCGGAGCACAGGCTCTAGGCATGCAGGCTTCGGTAGATGTGGCACACGGGCTCAGCAGTTGTGGCTCATGGGCTCTAGAGCACAGGCTCAGGAGTTGTGGTGCACGGGCTTAGTTGCTTCGCAGCATGTGGGATCTTCCCGGACCAGGGCTCGGACCTGCATCCCCTGCATTGGCAGGCGGATTCTTAACCACTGCACCACCAGGGAAGTCCCATATATAATTCTTGAATAGAGATATGAATACATGACACCCTGTGTTTCCTGCCTCTATTCATTTATTGAGCACCTAGTGGGCACTAAAACCTAGTAGGCACCAAAAAATAAGACATTAGCAAATTATTAATTTAAAAGATAATGGTGCTTAAAAGTATCTAGAGTGTCCACTTAATGACCCAAAGGAAGTTCCTGAATGGAACCTATGACCCAAAGGAAGTTCCTGAATCTTTTTACCTTCATCGATCCTCAATTTACTCATTGGCAAATGAGATAATTCCACATCTACCTAACTGAGCAGTAAGAATTAATACACCTATTAACAGAGTTTCCAGCATATGGCAATTATGATGATGATGATTATATATTACTGAAGTTATAAAATATTTCTATCCATTATCTTATCGATAGCCTTGTTACGGGTTGAAGCGTGTCCCACAAAATTTCATATGTTGAATTCCTAACACCAAGAATCTGAGAAAATGACCTTATTTGGAAATAGGATTGCTGCAGATGTAATTAGTCAAGATGATGTCATTAGGTTAGACCCTAACCCATTATGACTGGTATCTTATAAAAAAGGGAAATTTGGACGCAAGAGACAAGTGCTTAGGGAGAATGCCATGGGACCATGAAGGCAGAGATCAGGGTGATGCTCCCACAAGCCAAGGAACAGCCAAGACTACCAGCAAACCACCAAAAGCTAGGCGGGAGGCCCAGCATCTCCCTCACAGCTCTCAGAAGGAACCGATCCTGCTGACACTTTGTTTTTGAACTTCTAATCACTAGAACTGCAAGATGATAAATTCCTGTTGTTTAAGCCACCCAGTAAGTGGTATTGTGTATGGCAGCCTTAGAAAAAAACCCACTACCACTAAACTCTATAAGGTGGTTATTATTTTAGATGAGAAAACTGAAGTTCAGAGAGATGAAGTAACTTGTCCAAGGATATGGAGCTAAAAATGGTAGTTTGGGATTCAAACCCTGGTTATGTTACCCCAAGATCAGGGATTTCTAAAATAACAAAGCTGAAACATCCAAAATCCTAAAAGTAGAGTATAGGTATATACTCTTCCTATATACTTTCTTATGTCATTTAATGGTTATGGAGCTGCTAAAGTAGTGTAATAAAAAAATAATCTCTTCACAGTTGACTACTTTCAGTCAAGAAAAAGAACAAGATTCACTGATCTCTACATTTTCCAATGAGAAACTTATGGAAAAATTAATCTACAATATTTTTATGCATATTAATATAACAAATGAATACAGAAGAAATGAAAAAGCCAAACAGGGGAGGTATATGGATGATTTTCACTATAATTATGATAAAACACTCTGTAGTTACTTTTTTGATATTAGAAAAAGTGATAAATCCATGAACAAACCAATAAGAACCAAGTAACAGTATGAAAATAAAATAAAGCCAGGCAAGCTGTAAACATGCTCTGAGACTCCTAGTAGCCAAAGCAAATAGGTAAACGTCCTCAGCTACAAGATTCACGAAGCCCACAACATAAAAACAAGTCAGCGGTTAAACATAAGTTTATCTGGTTCCGACACCTGAGAATATTCATTAACTCATTCCCAGAATTACCTATGAGTTATGACTACAGATTATAGATACCATCTCCCATAACATGGTTCTTATGTGGATTCTCAGAACAAATGAATGGCATGCCACCAAAACACTCACAGATTAATGCTAGTCTAAGAGGTACCAAGACAATAGGAGTCAAATGAATAGCTCTCAGATATTCAAGAATAAACGTAAGAAGACAGCTGCTATGGTTTATTCCCATCCCACGACAAAACTGGTCACTTTGAACCCAAGACCAGAGAAGTTTGATATCCTCTTATGAAAATAAAACTACGGGACAGGCCAAGTTTTTCTTCATAAAATAGTTTGGCGTCTGCTCTAATACCCAGGAAAATGGCCCCAAAGTTTGGTCTTAGATCTTGGTAACTGTCTTTCTTTATCCCTGAGGCCATACAAAGAAAAAAAGAAAAGAACATTAAGGGAATATTCATTTTTAAGCAAGTTGCTTCCTGGCAAATATAAGCCATTTAAATATCCAAGGTCCCCTGACAAATGGTTTTATTTTTAACTTTATCTTGAACCATCCACTCCTTCACAAACTAAATAAATTTTGGGACTATTCTATCGGAGTTGCTAATACAAAGAAGCATAGCTCTTCTATTCTCAAAATGCCGCATGGGGGATGCATTTATCCAACTCCTGCAGAAACTCTTCAAGTCATTTGGGTACAAATTAAAAAGAAAGGATGCTACACATAGGGGTACGAGAGTAAGAGGTACAAACTATTAGGTATAAAATAAGCTACAAGTATATATTGTACAACATGGGGAATATAGCCAATATTTTATAATAACTATAAATGGAGCATAACCTTTAAAAATTGTGAATCACCATATTATACACTTGAAACCTATGTAATATTATACAGCAACCATACTTCAATAAAAAAAAAAGAGAAAGGATGCTAAATGCATCCCCCTTTTAAAAGGACTGTATTATTTATAGTCTTTCGGTGTCCATGCCTGTGCCTTTCCATATGCCTAACTCCTTACTTAGAAACTCTAAATCTCAAAAATTAAAACTTACACTATTTTGTTCTTTGTTTCTGTCCTTGCCATTTCTTAGTACCAGCTCCTCCCTTCTACCCTACTCCCCATCCAGAACCAGACTTACCGCCTGTCTGAGTGATGACTTGTATGTCACTTGAAAGAGGACCATCTCCAATTGAGGTAAAAGCCAGGACTTTGACAGAATACGTTTTCTGGGGCACTAAGTTGCCAATAGTAGTGATTTGGCTGTCAGCTACGTTGTGTTTCATCCAGTTGTTAACATGCTGAGTGGGATCCATTGTATAATAAACTCGGTATCCTTGAATCTGTCCATTTGGCTCTTCAGGTTCCTTCCACTGTACCAAAATGGTGGTTGAACTCAACATCCGCGCCTGGACATCCCTGGGGGCGCTGGACGGTGCTTGCTCTGAGGTCTGTGTTAGCACGGGCTCACTGGGAGGCCCCCGCCCAATGTTATTGACAGCAACAACCCTGAATTCATAATCTGAGTAAGGACTTAGTCCAGCGACACTGTAGCGTGTGGTCGCCACCCCATCAATTTCTTTGTAAGGTTCTTCAGAATTTTTAGGTTTATGCTGAATGATGTAGTAAGAGACAGGCTCAGGGTTCCCAGAGTCCCACGTCAGTGTGATGCTTGTAGCTGTGCTCTCAGTCACGACAGGAGTTCCTGGAGGTTTGGGTAAGGCTTACAGGGAGAAAAAGAAAGACAGTGAATACCCATCACTTTTAAGAAATCACAAGAATCCATAAACTCTGCTATTAGAATGAATGACAGAATTATGTACCTAGTAAAGATTTAATTAGATGAAATCATAGCAAAGGATGGTTTTCTAAGTGATCAGGAAGTACAGTAAGACATGCTTAGGTGACAAATCTCAGTTTACTAGAAGTGAATTATAGCATTGTAATTTGGGGCTTGTATCCAAATCCACCACTTATTAGCTATGAGATCCTGGATGTGTTGCTTAACTTCTCTTTGCTTCAGTTTTCTCATATGAAAAATAGGCAAAATTGTATTTTGGAATTGTACTGTACAGTTGGGAAAGTGTTATTTCATGAGTTTACGGTGAAGATTAATGAGCTAATCCAGTAATGCTCTTAATATGTATTTGGCACCCTCAGAAAACAGTAGTTCCAATTATAACAATTATTATAACCACAAGCTTGGCCCGTGAGACCCTTGCTTCAAAAAAATGATATAACTAAATGCCAATAAACATTGTAAAGAACAAAATTTTAGATATAAGATGAAATGGTATTAAATTGCTGTAAAAGAAGAGTATCCATTTTGTTTTCAAGATGTAAGACATAAGCAACATTGCTATATTTTAATAAATAATCTGACCAATAATTTTAAGGTAATAAAGAATAGTAATTTCAAATCAACCAATTTCAAATTCACGCTTTTTATACTTAATATTCAAAATATGCTGAAGGAGCTAAATTAAAGTCTATTCACAAATCACTTTTTAAAGTATTTCATTTTATTGTCATAATATGTATTCTATATCCAACATCAGTAATATCAGATTACAGCTACATGACAAACACTTGCAAGTAAATCTATATTTTAGAAATCTCGTTCATCCTTTTTAGCGGAAAAGCACAACTCAAAATGCTACTAATTAAGCATACAAACCGTCAACACTGGTGGCCTCACCTGGACAGTGATTCTGAAAGGTAGTGATATTAAGGAAGAAAGGAGAGTTTCACAAGCTGAATTTTTAGCGAAAACTCAGAAGGTAACACTCATATAATCAGCTCCTTAGTCCTCAGCTTTTCCTTGTCAACTTAAAGGCAAAAAATACAACACTCCCTACAATGGTAATTTTTCAAGATTAGCAAACTTGTACTTAATTAGTGCTGTATCTCCAATACCTAGAACACTGTCTAGTCCTGAGTAGGTTTTTAATAAGCACTGTGACTACCTGAATAAATGAGTTTTCTCTCTTTAAGGTGCTTTTTGTTTTGATTCACTTTTTGCCTTCAAGATCCACCCTTACGTTTTATTTATTTATGTTTGTGGTGGAGGGGGTATACGGAAGAAGCAGGAGTCAGGAAAACAAAGAAGCTGAACAAAATATTCGTTTAGTGTGACTCCTGCTTTTGAATTCTTGAGGGTCTTTAGTAAACCTTCAAATATTTAAAGCTGAAATGGTTAGTATGGGAAAGACGATTCAGTATTTGCAGATTACTCTAAGAACCATGGAGTGATAATATTATTTGGCCAGGGGATTTCGTTGAAAATAACAATAGAAAGACATTTGCTTCAATATGCTGGCCTGGCATTTTTCAAGGAAGTGTATGATCTGAATTTCCCCTAGATGTCTTTCTGTATTCTTAAGGCAAGTAGAAATATTGCTAATTAAAGATGTGTTTACTGATATTTAACAGATACTCTTAGTT